CTATGAAAAGTGAGGAGATAAAACGAAATAGAGCTGGTTCTTTGAAAAAATTGATACAGTTGACAAATACTTTGCATGAATAACAAAAGGAAGAGTGAAAATATAAAGCATCAGGAATAAAATGAGATATCACTAAAGACCAGACAGACATCAAAAAGTAAGGAAAATATTGTGAACAAAACTTAACATTTAGATGAACTGGATCCATTCACCTTAAATACACACACACACACACACACACACACACACAAAACTCATTCGATGTGAGACAGAATATTTGAATAGCCCTACAGTTATTAAGGGAGATAAATTTATAATTTAAAATTCCTCAAAACAGAAATTTCTAAGCGTAGATGGTCTCACTGGAGAACTCTACCAAATGTTTAAAGAATTTATACCAACTCTACACAACAACTTCTAGGTATTATTGAGTGTTTACTATGTGGGACTTCTTACCTCATGTAATTCTTTAAACAACCGAGTAAGCCAATCACTATTAGTATCCCCTCTTGTGTAAGGAAAATGAAACCCAGAGAGCTTCAGCAACACTGCTAGTACATTGCCTTGCTAAGCTTTCAATTTGGGTGTTTGGCCCTGACCCTCACTCCCACCTACAATGCTGTACAACTGACAAACATGCAAAGTTTGGTCTATGGCCATTGCGCAACAGATATTTGAATCAAATCAGATGCTAAAATTTTTATCTTTTACAAAATGCACTTTCAAATTTCACTTTGTGAAGGAAATTCAGATCTGACAAGGACATATTATTTCAATAAAGTTGTGGTACTACCTCACTTTCCATCCTTAATAGAGTGTCTGGGGTTTTTTTAAAATAAAAAAGAAAGTTAGTCTTGCTGGCAACTGTCATACTATTTCCATCTAAATGACAAAGTATATCTGAGAAAATAAACCAGAAAAGAAGTCTATTACTGCGAAGGGTAAGGGCTTCACTATAGCAGAGCCAGCTGCACCACTGTAATTACAAGAATCAACACACTGTTTCCTTAATTTTTCCCTGTGTTTGTTATTTTACACCATTAAGACTAATTGTACCCAATTTTAATAAGTACTTCAGATTAAACACTGCAGACTGACAGAAAATAGCAGTATATAGGTACAGTATATCTGAACTGCCTCTATTTAGGAAATTATAATATGTTACAAACACAATATTGACAAATAATATTTTCCTGACCAGAAAAACAAAAAAGTAAACATTACTGAGAACACACACACAATATACGAAAAAATAATTTATCATTTAGTGTTCAATACATGTTCTTCATATTTCATGCTTTCACAAATTTCCTTCTCAACTAAGGGCTTCAACAACTAAGAGCTCTACATTAATACAATATTTAAAATAATATTTGATGTGGCTGATGGCAATGTATACCCAAGTTTACTGGATGTTTACCCCATTTTACTTTATAAGACATTGGTAGGCAAAATTATGTGTCTGGGATGTAAGGCTGATTCTGGGAGGCATAGGATGTCTGGATGCTCCTATGACTGAAGATGTCTTTGCTCAGGGACTCCCCAGTGATTTCAGGGAAAGGCAGCTGAACACTACCATCAAAACATAGCCCTGATGCATTTGAGGATGTACTGATTGCAAATGCTTACATTACGGTGAATCATAGACAACTGCAATTCTTTTGCATGTCCATTAAATTCAGCCTACTACAACACTTAATATGTATTTGGAAGCATTATTTCTTTTAAATCTCTTTTGTTTCATTTTGTTTTCAGTTTTAATGAACAATCTATTCAGCCAAGGCTGATTACAGGCATGTGCCTGTAATCCCAGCTACTTGGTAGGCTGAGGTAGGAGGATCACAAGTTCAAGGTCAGCGTGGGCAACTTAGTGAAGCTCTGTCTCAAAACAAAAAAATAAAAAGGGCTGGGATGTAACTTAGTGAGAGTGCTTGCTAGCATGCATGAAGCCCTGGGTTCAACTCGCCAAAACAGAATCCAGTCCAACTTTACATTCTGCTAAGTTATTTGGTTTTTAAAATATAAAAAACACTTCCACCTCCAAAAGCTTTGAGGAAAAAAAATGAATGCTTCAAGAAGCTTTCCACACAATTCACAGAAATTACCCAAGTTCTCCAAATAATAAGTACCCTGTACTGAAAAACACAGTTTCAGGGGAAAATCAGAGGAAAAATAAGTGTCTCTCTGACTCTTTCCTCTTCCCCAATTTCTCTGTGTAAAATCTTTCCCTTTAATAAAGCCCCCAAAGATATTAGCATTTATTTTTTCCAAGAATAAATGATTCTCACCACAATTTGCAGAACAATTAACACCTAAGGAAACAAGTTACAATGCTAGCTTCTGACTTCACACATACAAAAAGACTGCTTTCCATGCTGGGAAGGCTCCAACTGCAATCTGATGTATATTTGTTTAATCCAATTTAAAACTGTAATTAAAAATTTCAGCTATCTAATGCCTCAAAGGTGACACTAAGTTTTCCAATGACAGCCAATCAGAAACAAAAAAGCAGAAAATCTACATTGAATGTTTTTCCTGCTGTATCCAAGGATATATTTAGAAAAAAAGGAGATCAAAAAGGGAAGGCATGAACACTCTAAACTTCCACACTATAGCCTCAAATTCCCTGAAATGTCATTTGTAAAAGAAAGTATCAGACAATAAGCTTTCCTCACAGTCACTCCTAATCAGTGACAGGTATGGCCTTCACAGGACTTTCCCTGTTCTTTTTTTCTTCTACTTGTCCCCCTATCCTATTTCCATGACAATAACTGTACTCTGAAGTCATTCATTCATATTGCATTCTTTTCTATCTCTCATAGCAAGTGCTTTTGATTTTGGTGGGAAAATAACAATTCAGAAACACATTTTGAGAACCAAAGGAGTCACAGTTTTATTTACAACTTTCTAAATGACCTTAAACTATAAGCATAATGATTCTGTATTTTTCCTTTCTGTAAAGCACCTATCCTGACAACCAGGAGGTTTTTGTTTTTCTTTTTTAACTGACTGAGAAAAGCAATTTTGATTTCCAAATATGAAACTAGTGACCATATCTTTAAGCCAAAAGAAATGACAGAGGGGGCTTCAGTCTACAAAATAAATTCTCAATCTCTAAAGGCATTGGCAATGTGGCAAATTCAAAGTTTGAGCAACTGATGAACTTTTGAATCCAGGGAGACACCAACGTTCAAAATGGGAAAACAAAAAAGTACAACTGAACAGTTAGCATTTTCTCCTTTGTCATTGGATCTAAAAGTTCATGCTGGCACCGAAACAAAAAAGTAATGACTCCATCAGCAACCTAACAGATGGCAGGCACAAAATGGCTCCAACCTTTTCTGAGAATGCTGGAGAATAGCTCCGTGGAGTTTAATTTAACAGGATGGTGGCTGCTATTTTCTCTTGGCCACCTCTTGCACAGCATGACTGGCCATAGCTCAAAGAACTACATCTTAAAGTCTGGCTGTTCAGTTACTCAGGTTAACCTTTGAGACAAGCAAGGGTCTGGAATTCTTATGAGACCCTTTCTCTGCATGGATCCTCTTCCAACATATGCAATTCAAATTTTTGGTTATAACAAAATAGGCTGCCTACGGTGGAGTATTTTCAATATCTCTTTTCTCCTATTAATATTTAAGATGAGACACTGGAGCTGTTTTTTAATGGACAATGAATTATATTTTTCGGAGGGACCAAAGGCAGAACACTAAAAAAGAGAGGTCTCTATCTCAAGTTCCCTCGCCCAGCTAGTTTCAAAAGGGTTACCACTGATAGAAGAACATTACGCTGAAGTTGGTGGGAATCACTGTCATGGCTTAAGACCATCTGGGGAGTTTTATGCAATCTTGACACAAGGGTTGCAATCCAGACCAATAAACCAAAAGAAATCTCTAGGAGTGGGACCCAGGGATCAGCACTTTTTAAAGCACCCCAGATGGTTCCAAACAGCAGTTAAAGTAGGTAATATATGCTGGACTTTAAATTTCTACAAGTTTCTGTAAATTAACTTCTATTCTGTGTCCTCATCACACTGTGTTTGTCATTCTTTGGACTCTCTCTACCTGTCTTAGTCTCTTCAAGGCTTGTGTTAAGGTTCCAGGGTTTTTAGGATTATTCCACGATAAACATGCCATCCTGTGTCCACAGAAATATCAGGGAAGCACTGAACTGATATTGCAGCTGTGGATTCAGGGGTGTCCTCAGACCAGATGTCATGGTCAAGAGTCTGAAGGTAAAAAAGTTTACATCCAAGTGTCCTGTACTCTGCAATCACTGTGCACTATGAAGTTCCTAATTGTCTCAGATAAAACAATCTCATATAGGCCCTGTTTCAGCCTTCTGACTATGAAGGTAGGCCAAATGAGAAGCTATTACCTTCCAGGAGGAATGGCAGTCCCCTCACTAATTCAGACTTTAATTATCCACAACTGTGCATCTGCTGATGAACTTTGGAACCACCGACCTATACATTTTTGGGCCGATCTCTCCATTGTGTATCCTATGCTAACCTTTTTCTTGCATCTTAGTAAGTAATTATCATTTGTTTTACTCAAGGGGTAGGTGTATCTGGTCTTACCACCCATAAGTACCCACCACTGCCACTGGTCAGTACAAAGATGATGCCAGCCTTCTAGTGACCCATTGAATCAAGTCAAAAGGAAAGAAAACCCTTTCTTTTCTCTTGCACACAGCAGATGTTTAATAAATGCTGGTTAAACTAGGGACCTTACCCCTAAATGTAAGTCATCACCACACATCAGCTCTAGACCTCTGATCCATCAGTACATGGCCCATTCAGGTCACCCAATAATGATGGTCTCTACTTATTTCTGGGAGAAACTTAATTAGCTCACCTTATGGAAGGAGGAAATAACATCATGGGGTTTGCGGTAACATTCTCACCTAGACAGCTGGAGCACATCAAGATCATTACTACAAACAACACAAGCTATACTGAGAAATGAGATGTCCCCCAGAAACTAGGATATACACAAATATTAGTTGTAAAATCTTTATTTCAGAATGACTGTAGGGTGGAATTTCATAGGCATACAACTAATTTATAGCTCTAAATCACACTAACACTGAATTAAAAACACTTTATCTTGTATAAAAATCTGGCCTGAGAAATTTTCATTTGAATTTTAATCTACTTCTGTTTCACATTATAAAAAAGAATATATGTAAAAACACCAACACAATTGGGGGAAACAATAGCTTATACATCAAGAGAAATGATTTCTAGCTGTATGTCACTTATCTTGAGATCACAGATCTGACAGTTGCATTTAAAGATCAGGAAATAAGCCAGAGAAAGGTACGTGAACCACTAAAATAATGTCACAAATGAATGTAGCCTAGTTCATTCATTTTAATGCTAGAAAGGCCTCTCAAAGTCTCATTCAGATGCTGTTTACTGTTACTTGCTATAGAGTGTACTATTACATGATTTCCCAACCCCCTGGAAAATTAGAGGAAATCTCCTACAGGCAGGCCCAGAAATGACAGGTAACAGTGAGGGAAAAAAAAAATCTCTAAACCCCATTTAGGAAATCAAAGAGCAAACACATTTTGGGGGCTATTCAGCATAGGAGATTCAACTAACCTAAGTAGGACCTGAAAGAATTAAAAACACAAATGATGATCCTGAAGAGATTTAATTATCTTCAGTAGATTCTGTTTACAAAAAGCAAGGAAATGTATATTAAATTGAGAACTAATTCCATGTTAATGGTTGAAATAAAAAAGTACGCAAATTAAAATCTTGAATTACCTTTACCATGCACCCTGCAATGTCTGACAAATAGAAAATTATTACATATATACTGCTTCTAAAATACACAAAATAATTCATATAAAAAGAATACAGCACCTTTTTAACCCATATATGATTTAAATCATAACACCTTTTCTGGTGAAAGAATCTCAATCATGTAAGGATAAGTTAAGTCAGCTCCTCTCTGCACAAGAACTTTATATTGTGTCTTCAGCAATCAACTGTGTTGATCATTGAGCCCTAATGACTGTGAAACCTTCTTAAATAACAGGAGACATAGAGACAAAAAATATCTCCGTCAAATCAGTGTCTCTCAAAATGTGGTCTGTGAAACAGAACAACCAAATCTCCTGGAGAACTGGTTTCAAAATGCAGATCCTGTATCCCAAGTGAAACTACATGAGTCAGAATTCCAGGGGAAGGACATAAGGACCTGCATTTTTGTACCCCTCCCTAAGGGTGCCTGGTACACATGGCAGTCTGAGTCACACAGGACACCTTCACTCTGATGTGCAGCTTCAGCAACCCAGTCAGGAGGAGAATGGCCAGGTCTATGACTTAACCCTCCCTACTCTTGTCCCTAGTGTGCCCAGTAACACTCCTCTCGCTTTGACATTTCTTATGCTACACTGCAGATAATAAAGTTAAATATGAGCATCTATAAAATACATATAATTTTTTAAAAATCTAATATGCCCTAATTAATTTTTAAAAGTCTGTAAGATTTCTAAACCACATATGTGAAGCTGGACTCAATAAATGCCTGCAGGGGTAAAAATACTGAGGAAAAGTGTTTGACAAGGGTCCAGAGGATTACTTGGGAATGAGGAAGGAAATGCATTTGAAAGCAGTTGTGGAAGAAAGGCAAAATGCAGCTATGTCCAGAATACAAAAATGCAAATCTATTAAAAGTTGGCTGGGATGTTTAGCCCTGTCCTCAACACCCTAGAAGCCCAGGCTAAAAGTTCAGGCTGGCAAACATGTGTTGACAGTGTAAGGTTTCAAACAATGCCAATTTGCTGCCAACATAAAGAAATTAAGAGATTTCTTTTTTAAAAATGTTTGTCTTTTCATGGAAAATTACAGCCACATAGCCACACAGTGAGGGAGCTGGGCAGCAGCTGCTCACTTTCAGTCAGGCATGTATTCCTGGGGGTCTCCGTAGTGGCCCCAGCCTACTTCACTCATTAAACCAGCTACCAGGTCCCCGCATGCATTTGCACTGGCCACCTGGCCTTCGAGGAATCAAGCCAGAGTGTGGGTCTCTCTGTGCCTCACTCTATTTCTAGAAAAAAAAAAATCCCACTAGAAAGATCCTTTCCTACCTCAGCAGTATTAGGAAGAAATTAAATAAAGTCTGCACATTCCCTGGAATTTGTTGTAGAGTTCTCAACCTCAGCTACCCATTGGAATCAACTGGAGAGCTTAAAAAATACGATGCCTGGGATCCATCCCCAGAGATTCTGATTTCTTAGTCTGGGATGCAACCCCAACGTCAAGATAGCATAAAGTCCCCCCAAATGGACAGCAATGATGAGAACTCTGACCTTTGGAGAGAATGCAAGTTGTTGAGTATGAATGGTTACATTTATTCTATTATCAGTCTTCAAATACAAATTTTTTGCCTCTCACCTCCATGACAATTCACATCACTCCTTACTTTTGGGGAAAGGCTATAATTCCAAAAACCTACCAAATGGCATTTACAAACTGGAAAAGAAGGTCAAAATGTATTCTGATTTCTACTATTCATTTTTCCCTCCAACACAACTGAGGAATAAAACACTACGGAAATAAAGGGAAATTATCCCAAGAGACAAAACTCAGGCAGCACAAATAGCTCAAACAAAATAAAAGAAGGCTTGCAGTGGCAGGTTTGTACCAAAAAGTACAATTGCTTTGAAATTCATCAATGCACTAAGTAGAAAAATTTTCAAATATTAAAAAAGAACAATTTCCCCAAGACTTTCCAGTAATGGCTCAATTTTTATCTTAAGAAGATGAATTCCAAATTATTACTTCTCAGGTAGAGTGCATTTATATTTTGGCTTCCCATCATGGGAAATGCAAGCTACTGTCATCTAATTTTCAAACAGTAATACCACTTTACATTATAGTTGAAAGGTGTATTTTCAAAATGGTTTCAAATAAAAATCTATTTACTGAACCTCTACAAGGCACCAGGAATCACACAGTTAATCCCATTATCACATTTTATAAATTTTTTAAAATGAGCTTCAGAAAGATATAAAATTATGTTTATGATCACTAAATAGTAGGTGGCAGCACTTGGATTCAAACTTATGTCTGTCTGTCTAACTCCCAAACCTGTATTCTTCAAACTAAACTATCTTATTTAGTCATCATAACTCACAGCAGAAAGATCCACACCTGAGAGCCTGATTTTCCCAGTTAAAAAGAGAGGTGAATGATATGCCCCATATCACAGAACAAGACAGAAGGAGCCAGGCAAGAGCCTGCTTTCTACTCTACGCTTCCTGTCCTTTCAGAGGACCAAGGACAGTTCATGTGTTACATTATAAAAGCAATAGGAATGGTAGTTATGCATCACTTTTGGATAGAAATAAATATAGTTTAGTTTCAGCACAGGTCTGACATAAGCCTGTCTGTCCCAGGATCCCTAGAAAATCACATATCAGGGTGAGCAACTTTATTTGTTCCAGAATCCTCTCATGAATCCTATGAGCAATGATGCTGATAACACATGAGCACAAGCACCTCTGCAGAACTTTATCCTGCCCCTGGCTGCCCTGACACCATCTCAGATGACCAGGAGGACACCCCGAGGAGGACCGGCATCATCTTATATGGGTTTTTCCTTTATTTGTAAAATCGTAAAGACACTGCACCATAAAAATCCAACTAGAAAGTCTCATTTCCATGAGTCCCACTACTTGAAGCAGGCTCCAAGGGGAATGTGTCATTTTATGTTCTGATAGGAAAGTGTCCTCTTCTTTGAGCTGCTAACACTATATCCTCAAACCTGTACTCCAGGAACTGCGCCAATGCTGTAGCCAAGAAGTGATTCTCGAAGAAGAGAAAAAAAAAAGCAAACACGATACAGCTGCCCTGCAAGAGAAAGCAAACAGGCTTTATCACCTAATAAACACGTCTTGCCAATCAATATTTATTTGCTCTCTTTTCTGAAGCAACTCCTGAGAGTCACTTGAATTCTATCACTATGGATAATTCTTGAAGAAATTGCATTCCTACCTTTTAATAATCTTCGAACAAAGCAAGCACCTTGTTTTATTAAGTCCAACTACCAGAGGAACTGGTTCAGAGAGGAATTTAAGATATAGCTAAAATTGAGGTCTTAATCATTTCAATGTGATAGAAACTCTACTGTGTTATCAAACCTTACCAAGCCCAGTCTCCCAACTGCCCAGCAGCAAGAACAAACAGATGTCAGGGCTATTTGTTTTATTCAAAAATGACAGGAAATCAAAAATCTATCAAATGGATCTGTCAGCAGCAATGCCACAAGCATATTGGTTAGTGAGATTTATGTGCCTCCATTTTGGCTCATGACAAAAATCACCTTCCTAGCTTTCTAATTTTCAAATGCCCACTTGGACATGCAGATTAGAGGAAGTTATCATTAACAATAGGTACCTAGTCATATTCTGTGACTTTATGCAAATTTGAGATGCCCTGGGACATAAAATATTAAATAATCTTTCTTCATGCACATTTGTGTAAATTCCACAAAATGTCTTTTATAAATTGAGAAATGCAAACTCCCAAAGCTGGCATATTGAGTAAATTGTAAATAGCACCCATATTATTGCTGCATCAGAGTGCCACTTTGTGTGCTAACAAAATGCCCATTTCTACTCCATTGTATATATGCATTGGACCTTGAGGAGCAATTTTAGTGACCACTGTTGCTCATACTTTAACTTCACTATTGTTATTTTAATATTTATGCATGCCTTACAGTAGCATCATCCAAATCTTCATGAAGGGATAATGTTAGAACTAATGTAGGGGAAATCAATTGTCAAACTACAAATTTTAAGATAGAGGTAAGGTGAGATTAAATGCTGTATTTTTAAAAATGCCAACTACTCGGGGGGCCAAGGCAGGAGGACCCCAAGTTTGAGACAAGTCTGAGCAACTCAGTGAGACTTTCTCTCAAAAATTAAATTAAATTAAGTTAAATTAAGAGCTGGGGATGCAGCTCAGTGGAAGAGTGCTTGCCTAGCATGTTTAAGGTCCTGGGCTTGATCCCAAGGCGTGCATGCGGGGAGATCACCACAACAATCTTAGGATGCTAACCCAGGAGACAACAAGCTTTTCCTTTAAGGATCAGACAGTAATTATCTTAGGCTTTGAAGGCTGTAAGGTATCTGTCACAAATACTCAACTCAGCTGCTATCTCTTTGAACATTATCAGAAACATAGCTGTATTCCAGTAAAACTTTATCTATAGAAGCACACAGCAGTCTGGATTTAGCTTACAGGCTACAGTTTTCCAACCCCTACTCTCTAACAGTGGAATTCCTCTTCTTTTTATGTAGCATTTCACTATTCATAAAACCAGTAGTCCCTCCATCTACAACAATCTCATCTTTTCCATGGAGCTACTTTTGAGAAACCAAAAAGTTCCATCAAAGCAGAAACATTTCAAGCTTCAAAAACTTTGTAAAAATTGTCAAAAAATAGTGGTGGGGATTATAAACTGGCAATAAAACTGCAATATGAAAGCCTCCGATGTTTCTATGTCATATTTATGATGATATGTTTGTCAAAACTCACGAAACTGTACAGTTAAAATTGGTTGATTTAAATGTATATATCTCAATGAAGTTGATTTTGAGAAGAACTTCAGGCCTCAGCGATAGCTATTAATTTACAGTAATTGTAGATTTATGTGCTTGAGTGTACATTTGCTCCTCTGAGAAAACTAATTATGAATTTTTGAGTTTGAATTATGTAAACAATTCAGGAATTCTGTGGCATTCACTGCATTAAATGCCACTGTCCTATACTAAACTCTTACTAGCATTTAGACCTCAATTACTTCACTTGAGAGAATAAGTTGCTTTTTATAAACAATGAAAAGCCCTGAATTCATGATTTAGCCCTCAACCACAGCAAAAAAAAAAAGTAAAAGGGAAGAAAGACAATCTAGACCCACAGGTAATGTTGTAAATGTGTCTAATTTACTTTCTTTACTGATACTTCAATCCAAACTAACTTAAAACACAAGTTGACATAAGTCCTGTCTCTCCATTTTTCAGTTTGTATTTGCTCTGGTTTAGAGCCTGTCAATATTCAATAACCAAAACGAAAGACAAACAAGAGGCAGAATGCTATAATATGGGAAAAGGTATCCAAAGAAAACCACTCATCCAACCAATCTAAAGTTAACCCAAGACGTACATGACAATTTTAAAACTTCAGCTACTAGCTTTCTCAGGCCGTAGCACTTCATCTGTCTTCACCCAGAGATGTGTGAACTTAAAGTTCACACATTTAAAGTCCTCCTCAAAGTGTGGTCCAGGATCCAGCAAGACTATCACCTGAGAAGTTGCTGAAAACAAAGGAGCCCACCTCAGACTCACTGAATCAGAACTCTGGAAGGGATCCTACCATTCTATGCTTACCAAATCCTCCAGATGATTCTGATGCTTGCAAGTTTCAAAACTTCTAATTTGAAGTTTGGAAACCAATAGGTATATACCTTTCCTATGTAAGTACTGGCCCCTCATTTAACATTGACTTTAGATTCCCCCCTCAAGGAAAGGTGGAATCCATGCACAAGTTCACATGCACAGGAAGCACTGAGCATCACAAATATGCCAGCCTAGAAAAGCAGGGAGACATGGCTAAGTTCTTCTCTACAATTTTAAAGAAATGGGGTAGATGTTGATCAAAAAATACGGTGAGTCTTTAAAAAATTTTTAAGTGTATTACAGTAAATGACATATTGCCACTAATCACCCTCAAAATCCCCCCACCTTGCTTCAAACGCACTTATCCCATCATTCTTGCCACTTTCTGAACCTATTCTGGAAGTCCTTTTTTTGTGAGTGTCTTTATTTGTTCTGTTATATAGCTGCCTGAATGTTCTGAATCAATTCAAATCTTTAATTGTCATTTTGGCTTTGGGGAAGTCAGAAGTTGCACAGAACCATGTCTGGTGAATCAGGTGGATGAGGACACACTTAATGTTTTTGTAAGTCTGACTTTCCATCAGATAGCACACAGCACCAGCATACACTATATTTTGTATCATACTACATGAAGATGTTCACGAAACAGGACTTCCAGAACTTCTTCAGAAAGTGGCAAGAATGGGATAAATGTATTCAAAGCAAAGGGGAATATCTTGAGGGGGCTTAATGGCAATGTGTCTTTTACTGTAATAAATTTTTAAAATTTAAATATTCACTATAAATTTTGTGCCCCATACTTAGATTAAATTCCAACATTTTATGAGCACCTGCATGTACCATGCCTGTACTAAAGGAAATTATCTCATTTAGCTTTTCAAATAATAATTAAATCTACTAATATGAAGTGTACAGAAATTTAATGTTAATCAGAATGTACTTCAACCTGAAAATAAGCAGAAATACTTTTAATTCTCCAACTGGTGTTTATTCATAGGCCTGACCAGCATGCTATGAATGCCAAGGTTCTTGTATATGAGTGTTGCTTTTGCTTTTTTCTTGTTAACTGCTCTTAAAGTTCATTGTTCATTGCAGTAATTTTAAAAGACTAACATAAGGTAATTCTGAATTACTCAAGGCAATATTTGCTATACAAAAGTTTTACCTTCTCTCAAATGTTAAAAACCCAAGTCCTATAAATTCTGTAAGATGTAAATCCATTATACTCATTCATTTTGGTGTTTATTCTTTTTTATTTAACTATAAAGATGATTCTCCTTGATGTAGACAGTAGAACTTAAGAACATGGAGAATGGCTTTACAATTTCCCACTGTTAATTCTACACTACTCGCCCTTAACTAGAGGTGAGGTGTTTTCATCCTGTGTCCATGGCAGACACTGTTAATCCATTCAAAGTGCTCTTACCTAGAGCCTAAAGATCACTCCCAAGATTCAGATCCTTCATAAATTCACTTCAGGTAGCCACCTCTGAGCAGTGGAAGTATATAAACATGTTGAATATCCCTTATCCAAAATACTTGAGACCAGAAATGTTTTGGATTTCAGATTTTTTCAGAGTTTAGAATATTTGTAAATTTAAAGAGCAAAATCAAAGATAAATGATAGGAAACAGGGAGGTAGACTTTGTGGTGATTGGAAGGGCATCTAGAGATGGGGGAGACAGGACAGCTGGGAGGGGAAGGGGAAGTAAAAAATGACTAAGATGCGATATGTGTGTGGTCCAATACCCCAAGGTGAATGTAATTATATGCGTTAAAAACATATACTAATGAAAAAAAGGATAAGTATTTGTACATACTTGATGAGATATTCTAGAAATGAAACCAAAGTATAAACATGAAATTCATTTATGTTTCATGTATACTTTATACCCATAGCCTGAATGTAAGCTTATACAATATTTTTTGTGTACCGGTGTTCTAACAGCCACTCATCACATACATCAGGTATGAAATTTTCCACTTGTGGCATCCTGTTAGCATTCAGACAGTTTCAGATTTTGGAGTACTTGTTATTGAGGTTTCCAGATTAGAGATGCTCAACCTGTATGACTAATAAGATATATTTGTTTCACTGGCCAATCAACATGTTCCATTCTTCCTTCCTGCTCCACTTACAGCTTTAATCCTCTCCTTTTATTGTTCTCAGAACAATAAAAGTAAGCCTCTGTTAATCCTGAGCTGCAATCTTTACAAATCTATGCCACTTTGAGAGTCCCAATCATGGTAGATTGTGCTGAACAGTTTCAACAATTTGAATGTGGTTGTAACCCAGCACATATTACAAAACTGCTCTGAAAATCAAAGAACCAAGTAAATAAAGGCACTGAAGAGATAACAAAACACCTGTGAAATAGTATTCTGTGGATATAACTGGGAAATGGTACAGCATGAATAGCCCAGGAAGGCTGATGCATAATACCAGGTGTATAAGCATAAAAACGTAACTCAAGTAAACGATTCCGATTTTGCTTCTGGTACTCACTGATGATTCTTTATTCCACTAAGGGGGCACCACACTGTTCCTTTAGCAGCATCTCCATTATTCTAATTCCCTATGGAGAGAGAAAAGAAAAAGAAAAATGCCGTATTTCACAGACAAGCATTTTACATTTATTACAACCCTTCCCTTCAAGGAATCCAGGTTACGACATGTATTCATTTCAGTAAAGTAGGGTCACAGTTTTCCCTTATACTTTTATGATATTTTACTCAGAACTATCACATATCTTCAGATATGCTCAGACCAACTTGGGAAGACAGGCAGAGCAGAATTTAGGATCTCCACTCTTAATATAAATCAGCCCAACAGAAGTTCAGCAACTTCTTGAAAGTAGCCCAGCTCCTAAGTGGTATTGGAATAGTGGCATTGATAACATTTGCTGACCACTGGCAAATGTGCTGGTCACTGTCAAGATTTCATGTGCATTAACTTGGGTCTGGGTGCTGTGGTGCCCACTGAGATCCTCTCCAGGGGGGAAACACCCCCTCCCCCACCCACCAGGACTGTAGGCTGCAGCAGGCACACAGCCACCCTCACCCCAATACAGTTTCCCAGGTCCCTCCTAGGATGAGTCAGATTTAACAGAACTAAAGCAGGCCCCAGTGCTCTACACTTTTAACAAGAACTTATGGGATCCCCTTCTAATGAAGCTGGGCTGAGTAGGCCAATAGAAGAAAGGTAGAGACTTCCTACTGGGGTTTGTTCTGAGCCAACCAAAGGATGTGGATGGGGAGTAATCAAAGGCATTCCTAGAGAACACAATAAAATATATTTAACATCAAAGTAGCCTGAATGAGGTCTGATTCAAAAAGTTGTTCAGATTCTGCCAGAGCCATCACCCTAAATACTGCTGCTGTTTTGGAAGGAAGAAGCATTAAAGCATCTTGAGAGATGCTGAGCTGCATGGAGCACTGGCTGAACCAATGCTGCAAACTGTAGGGCCTGGCATTGTCACTAGAGCCAAGAGTTCTGGGTCCTAGCCACACTTCTACCAGTCATTCTGCTGAGTACCTTAGCTGATGACTTTCACCATGGGCACATTAGACTACAGATATCAGGGGACTACAAGGCCAGCTGGCTTAGTGTCTTCCATACCTAGCTGCACACCAGAATTAGCAGAGAACCGCACCAAAGTAAAGTTAGACTCCCCAGGCCCACCAGTGACTCAAAAAGAAATCCCAGGGCTGAGGCCTGGAATCAGCATTTACAACATGCTTTCTGTGATTCCAAAACACAACTAGTTCATATACCAGAATTTGTAAATAGCAGCTTTATACCACCTCTGAAATCCCTTGCAACTCTGCCAGACTGGAAATTGATAAAATAAGTTCTCCTTAGTAATTTCTGATGATGTAATATGTAGTATATATCTTAGAGCCACTTTCTTTTTAAAACAAATTTGGAGAAAAGACACAGGGAGATGAATCACGACCTGGATCTTGCTCTTTCTGTTCTCTTCATTCAACAACAAATCCAATTAACAAACATTTATTATGCACCTACTATAGTATGAGCATTGGAGATTAAGTGGTAACCAAAGAAGACAAATCCCTGTCTGACCTTAAAAAGCTTACAGTCTAGTAGATTCCAGGGACATTACATTCTCATTTCAATTTTTTTTCTTTTCTTCTCTTTTGTTTCAATGAACCCCTGGACAATAAATAAATTCCCTCTTTCTATTTTCATGAAGAATAAAAATCACCATAAAAATTCATTTTCAAACTTCTTTTTGTAGGGTAGGTGCATAAATCTAGATATTATCTTTAAAACAAGAAAAGCACACTCCTTACGAGGGAAGTGAGAACTCATGAACTCTCCCATCCATTTAAATTAAGACCACTACCACTTATTGAGCTGAACTCTAATTGACATAAGTGAAGACTCAGGTTTGCCTTGGGAATTGAAAGACGTTATTTATTGAATCAATTATGTTCACAATGTGACAGTTGATTTTTCTCTTCCTCTCACACCACTTTAGTCTTTTTAAGAGGAACAGTCAGAAATAGAGGGTGGAGAATGGGGGCAGAGAGAGAGTGAATTAAAATACCTAACAGGGAGGCCAGCCATTATTTAGTACCTCTCTTTGATAAAGGAGAACCAAATCAAATCCCAATCGATAGAGTTCTTTCAAATAAAGTTCGTTCCAACACTTAAATCTCAACCCCCGGAGAGCAGGCTTAAAGGGGCTAAATTTCCACCACTTATCACACAATGATGCCTGAAATGCAGAACAAACACTAAATGGAAACACCTTTATAGATATAGCTTAAAAGCTTTTTGGACTGACAAACCATAAACCAGCTTGATTTTATTATTTCTTTCCCCTCAGAGAATTTCTTTTCTCTATTACAAGGCTATCTTTCTCTATTTGTCAATGTAGAGGTAAGTAAGCTATCTCAGGCTCATTTCCCTAACACCAGAGCTGTGCTGCCCAAACTATTCCCACAAAGGAATCTCAGAGCCTTTCCGATTGAAAACACTTTACAAATTCCCACTCCGCTGCTCAGGAATAGCTAGAAATTGTGAGAAAAAAACAAAGCCTGTCTTAAGAGGAACAGAAATAAGCTAAAACCAAAGATGGCTACATCCAGGCAGTATATTTATTTTGTTATCAAAATGATGCTTCCATAAGAAGCATTGATTCACCTAGGAGGCTCCAAAGAGTAATATTAGACCTTACAAAAATTACAGAGTTCTAAAGCAGTTCTCAAAAGGCACATCCATGCAGAGCACTTAACAAAAGAAAACTGCTCACTTAATTATCACAATGACAAAAAGATCAGTGTTAAAGACATCCCCTGGAAATAATGCTTCCTTGAGGGTCATGTCTTTGGAACTAACACCATGAACAGTACCAGGCCCATTGTTTGTGTCAGGAACTGCACTGAGAGTGTGGGGCATGGGAATGCACAAAGGACCTGATACGGCTACACAAGGGTTCATCAGTCTCCTGGGAGGATATGGAGGAATGAAAAATCCCTGAGACACAAGACAGTCTCTGAGAAGTGCTACAACCTAAAAAAAGAGAAAAAAAGTACAATGGATAAAAGGAAGTAGAGACTAATCTTGCAGGAAGGGAGGACTTGGAGAAGCCCCTGAAAGAGGAGAGGAGTAGACGCTAAGTCTGATCTTGACTGTGACACACAGAGATGAAGGAGCCCAAGCAGAGGGAGGCTTAAGAAGAGGATCCAAGCCAAGAACTGCACGCCACACACTCTGGGTTAAGCAACTGACTTCCGGAAGGCTGGGAAACCAAACAGCCCAGCCGGAGACAAGACTATTACACTTCCCACCTGTCCACTCTCCCGTGCCTCACCCCAACACACCTCGATTCCCACCTTAGCTCTACTCTTACCTAGTGAGACAAGAGCACATAAAACCTCTCTGTATTTAGCCACAAATAGCACTGTAACTGAGCAATGACTCTCAGAGAGATCTGGAGTCACGTGCAAGCTAGGTGTGGGAGTCAGTGCAAGATCTTAAATTCTGTAAGCCTCAATTTTGAATTTTGAATAGAAGCAGTAGCATGGGCTTGTCCTAATGAATTAGTTAAAATAATGCATAATTTGGTTATCACAGTATCGAGTGTTAAAACACTAGTTTTTGGCAGGGTATGATGGCACACATCTGAATCCCAGCACCCTGGGAGGCAAAAGCAGAAGAATAGCTGTTGGTGTTCTCTCTAAAGGGAGACCTGAGACCCCAGAGAGCACCAACCTTTAAAGAAAGAAAAGGAGACAGCCTGGGAGATGAACAGCATTTTATTTCTCCGACACTGTTCAACAATCACAAAGGAAAGAAGTAAGGCTTTTATACATGTAGGAAAGCAGCTTAGTTATTCTGGCTATTGTCTTTCTGATTTTAACATCTGATGATAAGTGACTTTAAGTGATTCATAAAAGCTATAGGTGAATTTACAAGTCCCCCGTTTCCGTTCACCAATCCGTATATCAAAGAGCACACCGAGGCCCTCTTCTTATCAGATGGTATCAAGGAAGCAGGATGACTTCGGCAGAAATCAAGCCCACCAGCCCACTGCAAACATCACAGATGTGCATAGTGAGTTGTATCTCTCTCACCACCCGTAGAGTCATTGGGTCGAGGTCCTCTGATCCCAGGCAATGGTAAATAAGAAAACTAGGAAAACCTGTTTTTCTCTGGTGAAACTTTTACAACATCACTTAAAGTTTTCTGGCATTCTTTTAACAAACAGACTTGTGGAATTTCCCAGAAATGACTTCTTAATTTTCTCAGTTAACAAACTTCTTGTGATCAGTTCTTACAACTAGAATAACTAAATTCTACAATTTCCCACAAATAGCAAGTTAGAGTCCTGCCTGGGAAAGTTAGCTAGAACTTTTTCTCCAAAAAAAAAAAAAAAGGCTGAGGATGTAGCTCAAGGCAAAGCCCTGCATTCAGTCCTGATGACAAAAGCAAAACAAACCAAAAAAATCCCCACTGGTTTCTGGTAAACAGTCAGTAAACAAATGTTCTTCATGTAAATCTCTTCTGTAATCACCTAATACCACCAGAAAGTAAACATCATGAAGTTGGGAGCCTTCTCTATCTTGTTCAAGATGTATTCAGTAGAAGCACAAGGCCTTGGGACACAAAATGCAAGGAATAAATGTCTACTAAATAAATGACTGACTTCATCAATCAGCCAATCAATCACCAGATTACACACCTACCACTTTTTTTTTCCTGCTGTACTGAAGACTGAAGAAAGGGCCTTTGTATTGAGTGACATATGCAGTCTTTAACTTTTTGTCTGTTTGTTTTTTGAAATAGAGTCCTGAGATTACAGACATATACACACACCTAACCATATATACCACAATTAATGATAAGGTGCTGAGAAACAGGGAACAGAATTTACGTACATTTGAATCTTATTACCTACTGCAGAATCTGACACAGAGTAGCTACTCAATGTTGATGGACTGAAAAACTAGTTACCCAATCACTCCTGAATGCCAGCCAATGAATGTGAATTTCAGAATTACAGTACATTCTGCCTAGTAGTCAGCATGCCTGAAGTGTGGTTGAGAA